CGAATCACCAAAGCTCTCTGAATCGATTCAGCTGAATCTCCTCAGTATTGAATCAGCACTCAAAGCCCTGTTTTTCTATGATTGTTGGCAGCTGGTAGTAAGATTTTTTTTTTTTTTAATAGAACTTGTTTCTTAACACTGCAACCAAAGGTTCATCTGTTTAATCATAACTTATTAGCTGTTTAAGTTGTATTTTTTCTTTTTGTTTATGATGCAAATGCCATCCTTAGCCTTTCCAAACATCTGCAATCATTCCTCTGTCCAAAAAAGGAAGGATTTTGGAAATGAATAATCAAAATGTATGTGCCAGATGTAAGTCCCTTGCTGAAATAACCTCATTAAGTTTAAAGGAGTGTACACCAAACTTAAAAATCCCCTAAAACAGAACATAAATGATAACTTGGAGAAGAAAATAAATACATTGGCCTAACTCACTAGTGCATTAGCAGAGCGTTACCTTTCACGTGTCATGGACAGGTCATTTTAACTGCTTTTGTTTGATAGCCTGAATTTTAATTTTACCTATTCCCAGAACCATATTTTAACTATTTCAAAGATTGGGTTGGCATTTTTTTTTCTCAAACAGTCTAGGTCCCAGTACTTTTAGCTATTTTAGTTAGTCTGCACACAAGAAAGTTGGTAATTAGTGCTATTGAATTGAGGCTTTCTTTGGAGAGCAGGTGACTGAAGAAGCAGAAGTTGGTGTTTCATTGAGAACATTAGAAATTAAAAAAGATGGAATACAAAGTTTTGAATGGCACTAATCTGCCCTGTAGCAGCAGAAACACTTCCCAAACAGAAGAGCAGTTCATTTTGCATGCACCTCCACTCGTACATTCTCCTTAGTCTATTAGCAATTTTATCCTCACTACTGCTGTAGCGAACTGGTTGCAGCTTTGTGGAGCTGAAAAATATAAGGTTTTCTTTAAGCAATCAGCAGGGAAATGTTCATGGAAGGTGGTATGGAAAAGCAGTGGTGAGAATACTAGTAATTGGGAACCTCTTCCTGTTGCAGGAAGCTTCCTAGTACAGAAGGAAAGGTGGGCAGCTTCAGAAAGAAATGTAAAGCAAGCATTCCCTTCCAGCAATGTTGTGGGGAGAAGGAGCTAAACAAGGAGGGAGACCAGCTTGGAGTAACTCACAGGACAACTTCTTGTTAGGGGTAGAGCAACAGTGAATGAGTTTACAGAGCTTTCCATACTATTTAAAAACAGAAGTTGGTAAAGCACCACTCAGCTCAGTTTGTGTATTGTACTTGTTTTTAAAGAAGTCAATCCGTTCTTTTGACTGGAGCTAAAAAAGGCAGATGTAATGCTAGTGGTTTGTTGGTATTATATCAGTTGTTTTTTAGTTGCAGTTACAGTTAAGGCAAAGCTTAAACAGTGTCCCCAAGAAGCAAGCTAAAGATGAACTTGAGAACAGCTTATCGCTACTTTGCCTTTGATCAGCTTGTATTTGTAAATACAAGATTTTAGTCATCCATTACTTCTGAGAGTGATTGGTCAATGTGCCTACTGGAGTTTAAAGTCCATTACTGAGCAAATAAAGAAGTTAATACTATGCACTTTCAGATATATTAGTAAGGGGTTTGATTTCTAAAGTCCTTCCAGTAAGAAATATTTAAAGTACTCAAAACTCTCTTCATATATAGCTGATTCAACATCCTTGTAGATATTATGGACAGTTGCTTGGTTTAGCTTATCACCTACAAATGAGTTGCGTGTTATTACGTTATAAAGATTTTTCAAACAATTTTTGTTTAGTTTTTTGGTCCAGAACTTAATTAAATAATGTTTATTCAATTAAATGTATACATGTCATTTTATTGCCCAAGGGAGGTGGTGCTCTCCCCTACCCTGGGGGTCTTCAAGAGGAGGTTAGATAAGCATCTAGCTGGGGTCATCTAGACCCAGCACTCTTTAGCTGGGGTCATCTAGACCCATCAATCTTTCCTGGCTATGCAGGGGGTCGGACTCGATGATCTATTGAGGTCCCTTCCGACCCTAACATCTATGAATCTATGAATAAACACTTAAATTACTTTCCATGGTTGTAGTGCCTTCTGAGAAACTTGGATATTTTCAAGTGAAAGAGTCATCTATACTATTAGCGAATTAAAATGCAGTTTCCATTTTTAAGATGGGAAGATAGTCCAACTACATGACTGTAGATATGACAGAAACCAAATAGAAATCTCTGGTTAAGTTGTATATGCGCCATTAGATCATGTTTTATTTTGTAACACAGGTGACAAGTCAGCATACTACAATATGGAAATTTGAGGTGCAACTTAGTTCAGTGAAACTGAACTACCTACATTAGAATACAATACCATATTTACTCAAATATGAGACAAGTTAAAGCGGTCGTTAAACAGGTAGGTCGTTAAGTGAGGAGTACCTGTATATAAGTAGGTACAAAAGTACTGCTTAAAAGTGTGTTTATGGAGTACCTGTGCTAAAACTTGCAGCAACTTCAAAAAAGATAAAATGTATGAATTCTGGATGAACTAAGTCTATAGGTACCAATAGTAATGTGTGCAAATTACTATAGACATGTTTATTTCAAAGTCAGTGTTTTGAAACTGGCCTCTCACTGCCATGTGCTCAGGGGCTAAGTACAGACAGTCAAAAAGCCTGAAGTTGAATCGATTCAATCTTTGCAGGTTAGTTTAAGTTGCATTGATTGAACTGATAAGCAAATGAACAGACATTCACTTTTGGTTCTGGAAATGCAGCCACATGACTGTAGTAGTCCAAGCCAGAAGCCAGGGGATGCTCGAGCCCACCTCCCTGCTCTGCTGGACCAGGAAGCTTGAATCTGAAGGAGATCTGTGACAGAAGTTCAATAAACTGATTTAACCTAAATCACTGAAGTCTGATACTACATCCATCCAGGTTTATCTTTAAACCATTTTCAGCCATTTCACACTTTTGGTGTGTTATAGCTTTGAACTTTCTGATCACTTTTACTGGTTTATGTGTAACTTCTGCCCTAGCCAGGGAGATCAGGGTCTGAGAGAAGGGGAATTGGGGCAAAAGAGGCGGCAGCGGGAAGAAGCTGGGGGGGGGCATAGGGCAGAGGGAGGAGGACAAATTCAAAACAAATCTCTAATAGATTATATACCTGGAAAATTATAACAATTTTATACAATTTCTGTATATAGAATCTAATTATTGGGAGGTATCCTCTTATATTTGAGTAAATATGATAGTTAACTAAAAATATTCTTTTAAAAAAAGGATTTATTTTAAAAACGGAAAAGCAAACTGCACTGCCTTTTAACTTTAAGCTAGTATTTAAGTACTGTATTTGGACTTCCAGCAAATCCTCTATAGATTCCTATGTTTCAGTCTTCAGAAGTCCTGTTTGCATGTTGTTTGGGAATATTATTTTATAATAGCAATAGATACAAACTACATCTGCACTTTGTGAAAGACTGAAATCCAGAATAATATCATGCTTCTCGTTGGCTGCTAAATTACCTTGTTTATATTTAACTACTGCACATTGTAAAATTAGGGTCTTATTTGCAACAGAACTAGATATGATGCAGTTGCTGTTTACTTTATTTTAATATTGTATAGACTATAAGGGTCAACGAATTGGCCACTTCTACTGGCTCTAGTAATTACCGATTGCAAAAGCCTGAAAGAAGTGACACCAATTAAAAATAAATCACTGGCTGGTTTTAAAAAAAAAGGTTTTTGAAATTTAGGAAATGGAAAAAAAAGATACTTACTTAGAAACATGGTAGAAATTATTGGAATTTACTTTGAAACAACCCTCCTGCCACCAAACCAGGAAGATTGAGAAACTTCTTGTGAATTTTGAAGGAAAATGCAAATTCTGTAATCTAACAAAATTAAGAACAAATTTGGAGTAAATTCAAATTTTAAAAGCAGACATGACTAGAAGATAGTGAGATTTATATTATGCAGAGTTCTGAGGGGAAAAGGTGGGGTTAATTATACAAGTTTCCCTCACTTTATGTGGGTTCTGTATGTGCGAATTCACTCTTATGCTATGACCCTTTTTTACCAAAAATGCGTTATATGCGAGGTAAATTCACTGTTATGCGATCAATGTAGTGGAAGCCCACAGTCAGCTACTTTGTGCGGTGCGTGGTGACACGTACCAAGATACAGTCTCCTGTGTGGATCTGTGCTCCTCACTCATTGTCTGCAACACGTGTTTCTGTAGTTGCTGTCCCCATTATGGCTTCTAAGCATCCTGCTAGCTTATCCAAAACAAAACTCCAGTAATGTGGAGTCTGACACTGAAGACCCTTCACTGCCCTCTCTTCACACCAGCTAAACATTCACCACCACCCTGTGCTTGTGTGTACTGTCTGCTGTTGGTGAGTACCATAATTGTCTTGTGAAAGCGGTAGAAATGGGTCTGGGGGTCAGTACAGTCAAGGTCTTGGAAAGTATCCCTATTTGTTACATTGTAAAGTGGGTTCCCTTTATGCAAATTCAAGTTATGCACCATTTTCCAGGAACACATGTACAACATAAAGTGAGGGAAAACCTATATAGAAATCCCCCCCCCCTCCCCCCCGTTAACATTTACTAAAGCAAAGGAATTTTCAGAGTTTGAAAGAAAACAAAGAAAACACACCTGTGGACATTGACAGGTTAAGCAAGCACTATTGATAGCAAATAAGTAACTTTATTCATATTTTAGGGGATTGGATATATCTTTAAATGTAAAATCTGTCATTTGATAAGTTGGGTTTGTTAATAAACTGTTAAACAAATTTCCTGTTAAGCTGGTGTATGCATGTAAGGTGAGCCAGGAAAAGCATTGGTTTCTGTGCTTCTTTTGTCCTGAAACAGACATCAGTGAAAAAGTATTGTTCATGACAATCCTCGTATAGCTTTTTTTAAGTAAGTTCTGGACTTCAGTTGACTTTAACTTCTCTTTTGGCCATAGAATCACCATGCTATTGAACTGTTTTAAATAGTTAGATCTATACGACTGAAAATGATCAAGAATAGCAGAACTGCTCAAGTGGGGTCGATGGACTGCTGACATTGGAGGAGAAATGGTCATAATGACTTGTTTAGACACAAAAGTAAGAGTCTAACTCATTTCTTGGAAAAGTGATGTTGGAAGGAAGAAAGAGTGCAAGAAGCCCTCAAAAATAATGGTAGATAGTACTCCATTTCTTTCTTTCTTTTCACTCCCTAGCACAATGAAACAAAGGAAAAAACTAACCCAGGGAAATAATTCATTCAGCAAAACAAAGAAACAAACAAACAAACTACAAAGTGATACATTAGTGGGTCAAATATAAATTCCATTTTTCAGTCATGAAATGCTGCTAATTGTAATTAGAAGCCCGGTTCACTCGATAACAGTTTTATTTCTGTCCTCTTTTCCTCTGTAGATTCTTAGCAATAAAGGTTTGTTGTCTGAATTTGATCATTAACCAGGAAAGTTTCAATTCAAATTTAAAGCAAAAAAAAATTACAGCAGAATTTGGCAGCAAAAATGTATTGTTTCTAGCAAATTACTTGCCAATCTTTTCCTCAAGAGTTCATTTTAAGTTTCAGTTTGTATGAAGATTGTGACTATTTGAAATAAAATTCAAATGTGAAATGGAAAAAAGTTTCTAAAAGTAAAGCTACATTCCACTAATGTCATCTCTCCAGGAGTGCCACCTTTCCCAGTCACACTGGTAGAGGTGATATCTTTTATTAGACCAACTAGATTTTTGCAAAAAACAAATTCTTTGATTGCAAGCTTTCAGGCACAAGCACTCTTCTTCAGGCATGGGGGAAAAGATTGTAAAAGTTCTGGGTAGAAATGAAAGTTCATATTTCATAGGAGAGTTGAAGCTGTGGTAAAATCTTCTGTTTGGAACAGTTCATTTTATATGCAGATTAGGCTCAGAGAAAAGTTAGAGTAGTCTGTTTACCTCAAAGTTGTTTAGTGGTAAGCAGGATGTAGTCATATTTCCTTCTGGTTATGGTCTTTCATGTTTCACTGAGTCGTAAAAAGATGGAATGCTTCTCTGGGCAGACGTTACTTACGTGGTAAGGTGTCTCTGAGCTCTGTGATGAGGCTCTGTGATGATGCAAATTACCCTGAACAAAGGCAGGAGTTAGGGTCTCAGGTTTCAGGTGGTCAAACTTGCTTCCTTCTTGTAAAATTATGAAGATTTCATTACCACACCTTCAACTCTCCTATGAAATATGAACTTTATTTTGTTTAATTTCTACCGAGGGGAATTTTTACAATCTTTTTTCCTATGCCTGAAGAAGGGTGCTTGTGCCTAAAAACTTGCAATTAAAGATTTTTTTGTTGTTGTTGCAAAAATCTAGTTGCTTTAATAAAAGATATCACCTCTACCACAAGTTCTGATTCCTTTAGCCTCTAGACCAATATGGCTACAAACTGGGTAACTTTTCCAGTCATTCACTATCTTTTTTGCTGGGGGTGGATGGGAAGGGATGTCATGTTTAGTGACTTTAGTTTAACCTAAAGAATGAAATTTAATACCTGTGTCATGATGTCTTTAACAAGATTGCAGTGAAGTTTCTTTTCATTTTATTTGAATGCCTTATTCCATGTAAGAGTTATGATTCAGGGAGGCCGGCAATTGTAGGTCGTTTGTAGACGTCTAGTCCCTGGATACATTATGTAAAAAATATAGTGGTCAGGTATCTCTAGCCTGTCCCACCTTTAAGATGGAATAGATTGGGGTAGCTGTCCTGTGGCATGTGTACCACAAGTGGCATGCATCAGATCAAGGAACAGTGACAGGTGGGTCAGGTCTCAGAAAGGAGAAAACAGAAAACAAAAAAACCACAAAGGTCATGTCTACGCAAGACATTTACTGTGGAGTAGACTAATTAGTTCCACAGTAAACATCACCATCTACAAGTGCAGGGCTATTAGGATGGAGTAAACTAATAAACTCAGCAGCAGGCTACTTGTAAATACAAGTACTATCCTGCTGCAGAGTGTTTTACTCCACAACAGCGTATATGTAGAAGCTGACCTGGCTGGCTGAGGTATGAGGGTGCTTCAGTGTGAGGGCTGCCTGTTGGCTAGACCCACAGTGAAGCATCTTCATGCCCCAGCCAGCCGCTTGGCACATTCAGCCGGATCGGAGCAGCCCCTGGCTGGCAGTCTGACCCCCTGTATGCCCTGCCAGGTGGGGCTGCTCCAATCTGGCTCAACATGCTACAGCCCTGGGTGCATGTGAAGACGTGGTGCCCAGGAGCAATAAACTCCTGGGCACCAAGGAGTAATAAAGGAGCAATAAAGGATAAGTGTCGGAGTTTATTGCTCTTCATTAATACGCTCATGTAGACATGCCCACAGATTGCCACTTCGATCCCCTTCCTTTATTCATTTGGGGGGAGTGCAGGCTTACCTTATGGCATGCCTTCGAAAAAAGGTGGACTCCCACTGCAATAGATGACCAAAAGTTTTAGATCAACTTGGAAGTAGTCATGGAAGGTACCTGGTTTCATAGTTTCATAGTAGCTAGGGTAGGAAGGGACCTGAACACATCATCTAGCCTGACCCCTTGCCACAGGCAGGAATGAATGCTGGGTTCACAAGACCCCAGACAGGTGATCATCCAACCTCCTCTTGAGTTTATGCAAGGTAGGGGCGAGGACCACTTCCCTGGAAAGTTGGTTCCAGATTTTGGCCACCCTAACTGTAAAAAATTGCCTTCTGATCTCTAACCTAAACCTATTCTCCATCAGCATATCACCATTGTTCCTCGTCACCTCAGGTGGTGCTGGGGAGAAAAGGGCTCTACCTATGTGCTGTTGATCTCCCCTCATGAGTTTGTAGGCAGCCACCAGGTCCCCCTTCAGCCTCCTCTTGCTGAGGCTGAACAGGTTCAGGTCCCTCAGTCTCTCCTTGTAGGGCCTGTCCTGCCTCCCTCTCACCAAGCGGGTGACCCTCCTCTTAACCCTCTCCC